AAAGAAACAATCTCTTTTAAAATCACATCCAAAACAATAAAATACTTAGGAATAAATCTGACCAAGGAGGTGAAAGACTTATACATGGAGAACTACAAACCATTGATTAAGGAAATTAAAGATGACTTAAAGAAATGGAAAATATCCCATGCTCTTGGATTAGAAGAATCAATATTGTTAAAATGGCCATAACTGCCCAAGGCAATCTACAGATTTAATGGGATCCCTATCAAATTACCCATGACATTTTTCACAGAACTAGAACAAACAATCCTAAAATTTATATGGAATCACAGAAGACCCACAATTGCCAAAGCAATATTGAAGAAAAAGAACAAAGCTGGAGGAATAACCTTCCCAGACTTCAGATAATACTACACAGCTACAGTAATCAAAACAGTGTGGTATTGGCATAAAAACAGATATATAGATCAATGGAACAGAATACAGAGTCCAGAAATAAACCCACAGACCTAAGGTCAATTAGTCTTCGACAAAGGAGGCAAAAATATACAATGAAGAAAAGACAGTCTCTTCAGCAAGTAGTGTTGGGGAAACTGGACAGCAGCATGTAGAACACTCTCTAACTCCATACACAAAAATAAACTCAAAATGGCTTACAGACTTAAATATAAGACAAAACATGATAAATCTCCTAGAAGAAAACATAGGCAAAACATTCTCTGACATAAATCTTAGCAATGTTCTGCTAGGGCAGTCTGCCCAGGCAATAGAAATAAGAGCAAAAATAAACAAACGGGACCTAATTAAACTTATAACCTTTTGTGCAGCAAAGGAAATCATAAGCAAAATGAAACAACAACCTATGGGATGGGAGAAAATATTTGCAAATGATGTGACTGACAAAGGCTTAATTTCCAGAGTCTGTAAACAACTGATATAACTTAATAAGAGAAAAACAAACAACCCAATCCAAAAATGAGCAGAAGACCTAAACAAGCAAGTCTCCCATGAAGACATACGAATGGCCAATAGCCACATGAAAGAATGCTCAGTATCACTAATTATCAGAGAAATGCAAATCAAAACTACAATGAGGTATCACCTCACACCAGTCAGAGTGGCCATCATTCAAAAGTCCACAACGATAAATGCTGGAGAGGGTGTGGAGAAAAGGGAACCCTCCTACACTGCTGTGGGGAATATAGTTGGTGCAGCCATTATGGAAAACAATATGGGGAGTTCTCAAAAAACTAAAAATAGACTTACCATATGATCCAGCAGTCCCACTTCTGGGCATATGTCTGGAGGGAACTTTAATGCAAAAAGATACATACACCACAATGTTCATAGCAGCACTACATACAGTAGCCAAGACATGGAAACAACCTAAATATCCATCAACAGATCACTAGATAAAGAAGCTGTGGTATATTTATACAATGAAATACTACTCAGCCATAAAAAAGAATAAAACAATGCCATTTGCAGCAGCATGGATGGACCTAGGGACTGTCATTCTAAGTGAAGTCAGCCAGAAAGAGAAAAAAAATTGCATATGATATCACTTATATGTGGAATCTAAAAAAAGAAATAAAAAGGACATTATGAACTCATCTACAAAACAGAAACAGACATGCAGACATAGTAAACAATCTTATGGTTACTGGGGAAAGGGGCTGGGAAGGAATAGGTTTGGAGTTTCAGATTTACAAATGTTAGCCACTATATACAAAAATAGATTTTAAAAAGTTTCTGCTGTATAGCACAGAGAACTACGTTCAATATCTTGTAATAAACTTTAATGAAAAAGAATATGAAAGCGAATATATGTATGTATATGCATGACTGGGACATTGTGCCGTACACCAGAAATTGACACATTGTAACTGACAGTACTTCAATTAAAAATAAATAAATAAATAAAATTAAAAGATAGGTGGGGGAGGGTATAGCTCAAATGGTAGAGTGCATGCTTAGCATGCAGAAGGCCCTGAGTTCAATCCCCAGTACCTCCTCTAAAAATACATAAACCTAATTACCTCCCCCAACCCACCAAAATAAAATAATTAAATAATACAATAATAAATAAATAAAATATACTTATAAAAAATAAATAAAAGATAGGTAAAGGTTGAATGAACCTCCCTACTGAATAATTGGTAAATCAAATAATTAAATTTTTACCATGATGTATTGAAGTTTCATTTCTGGAGCACTCTCCATTGAATAGATTTCTTGTTTACCAAGGAAACATTCTCTTTGAATATAGATTATAGTGCCCCAAGTCAGTCAGATAAAAGATGATCCTTTGAGAACTGCCTGAGAGTGATAGTTCTGATAAAGGATACTACGCCATCCTTCCCACGTGAAAGGGCTAATGACGTTTTATATTCTTAGGATTTACCAGTTGTAATGATTGATTTATCCTGTTCACCCAGTTTCTCATCTGGCCTTTGTGAAAGTTGAAAGGAATAAGACTTAGAAAATATGAGATAGTATTTATGATATACATTTGAGAAGACCTTTGGGAAGACAAGTCAGTGACTCAAAAGGTGATGGGGCAGTCTAGAAGAAATAGGTAGGGTGCACTTATCAGAGACTTATTGGATAACAAATACTGTTACTTAGGGAGTAAGGCTCTTTTCAACCTCATAGTAACTAATAGAACCAACTGTTCCTACCACTGAAAGCATCAGATGGAAAAAGGGCACAGCTGTACTCTTTCCTAGGGAGCTTGTAACTGCCTTACAAAGGTGGCTGCAGGGAAACAGTGCCTGAGGACTCAGCGTGAGATTTCGTACAAAATGGAACCTCGAGGGTTTAAGTTTGATTGTAGGATGACTCCCTGCGTTCTTACCCTGCACATTTAGCACTGCTGGCTCTCTTTAGAGCCCTACATTTAGAGAGGAGAATGTGCACATTTTGTTATATTGTTGGATGTTTTTTCAAAAATGTCTCAGAACCGAATATAAATTGTAGTATTAGAAAACGCTTATCAGAAAATCTAATTTTACTTTTTGATTGGAACCATTAATTATTTAAATGTTAAGAAATAGTAGCATATTACTTTCAAAAGATATGCTTTACAAATCACTTTATTGTCTTTTAATAGCTGGAAGACTCTTTGTGGATGTCATTAACAGATCAGCATATCCAAACCCCGATGGCAATTACTGCAGAGAATCTTGCTGTAAAACATAAAATAAACAGAGAAGACTGTGACAAATATGCCCTGCAGTCCCAGCAGAGGTGGAAAGCTGGTCAGTGAAACTGGATATTATAAATATGTATAGAAAGAAAACTATAGGAAAGATTTTTATCATTTCAGATTTTAACGATCATACTAGTTTAGAATTACATATTTTGAAAAATCCATTTTTCACCATTCCTTTGTTTTTAACGATCAGATATTAATGATTACAAATTAACTGGGTATTTCTCTTTTAAAACAAGTTAATATAATGAGGTGTCAGCATAGATTTATCAGCTGTAAGGAATATACCACTCTGGTGCAGGATGTCAATTGTGGGAATGATTGAGAGTGTGTTGGGGTAGGGAATTATGGGAGCTTTGTACTTTCTGCTCAGTTTTGCTGTGAAACTAAAACTGCTCTTAAAAAATAAAGTTTATAAAAATTTTTAAAATGTTAATACTACTTAAATAGTAGTATGATTAACTGGCCCTATCTGGACACTTGAATTTTGCCCCAAACTAGCCTGTTGTCAGTAGACACTCTGAGGGCTATGATACACTCCCCATCAGGGAGCATGTCCTTCCCTGTGAGACAAGTCACAGTCAAAAGAAGGGGACGATATGATTGGGGAAGACCCGCTGGGTATCCTTTTCTGATTTCTCTCTCCCACTCCTAATTGAGAATCACTGTGCCTGTCTCAAAGACTCCAGACTAGTCCAGGGCCCTTGCTCTGGGGCAATGTCACGCGGCACACTGCTGTTGAACCAGTCCAAAATGAGCAAGAGGGCAGTCGTGCTTTTATCAGGATGGTGGGTTGAAGAAACTTGCTAGTCTTCTGAAAAGGGTTTTTAAAACTTATTATAAGTGAGCAGGAACTCTTACTTAGGAGTATTAAATACTCAGAACAGTGAGAATAAAGTTCATCTTAACATTTCAGGGGGCTAAGTGGAATGGTGCTAATCTAGCTCATCCTGTTTTCAGTTACACATTTAAAGTGAAAGAGTATTGGTCTAGAGGTCATTTCAGTCTGTTTGTAGTTTTGCCACATTAAGATTGACCTCAAGCAATTCTTATTCACTGAGTATTTATTCACTGAGATTAAAATAGATTAAAACAGAGATCTAAAAATTTTGCCTTCCCTTTTTTCCTAACAGAATTGTAGTGAGAACCAAATAAGGGGAAGTGTTAGCCTCCTGTAAGGTGGTATCAAAATTAAGGGGCTATTATTCCCAACTTACCCTATTTCTGAAGCTTTAGATTATAAGCCACTTCAGGCAGTGGAGGTGGAAGTAGCATTTTACATAGAACTGCGTCATGTAATTTGTTCAGGTTACCTGTCATTGAGTTTCAGTCATAGACTAGTTGGTGACGTAGAAAACTTGGTAACTTTTTTCCTAATGTGGTTGGAACACTTAATGGGAGACCTACCCTCTTAATAGAATTGTAAGTGTACATTATTGTTGTCTGGTAACTTTTTAATACTTACCTCGCCCAGAGAAGTTTAAAAAGGGCATTAAATCCATTCAATGCTATTACATCTGTAGCTAACAAACAATGATGGTCTAGCAGTACCTTGTAAAAAAAAACCTGAAGTTAAAAAAAAATCAAAATTGTAATTTTTTAAAAGATACAGAATGCATCTGCATGGATGAGAGTATATTAAATCCTCCAGTAGGCAGGGTAATTATGTGAGTAATAGAGGCTTAGATTGAAGAAGACTGTGAGGAAAGGGTAGAGCAGAAATTAAATTGAAGAATATGTTTGATTTTGTTTTTCTAGTTTCTATTCGTTTTCCTCCCCATTCTTACAATAGTCTTTCTACTATTTCAGCTAATGATGCTGGCTACTTTCATAATGAGATGGCACCAATTGAGGTGAAGACTAAGAAAGGAAAACAGACAATGCAAATGGATGAACATCCGCGGCCCCAAACCACCCTGGAACAGTTAAATAAACTTCCTCCAGTGTTCAAGAAAGAAGGAACTGTTACGGCAGGGAACGCATCAGTGGGTAGCACCCCTGATTAGCTTGAACTCCACCTGATGTGTTCAATGCGAAATAATCGCACAGCGCCTTTTAGATCCCGTTCGTGCCGGTCTTTAGTTATTTAGCTTAAGCGGGTAGTGTTCATTTTCTATTAATTTGGGTTTTCATAGTCCAACACAAAATATTTTAGCCAAGGGTCCATCTAATACTCCTCCAGTTTCCTAGTCTTTTCAGAA